AGCTCTGGCGGCTGCCGTGGGCTTTCTGCTCAGGCCCCTTGAGCATGCCTTTGCCTTTGCCAAGATTCACCCCTGCCCACGCCTTCCAGAAATATCTGGACCTGGGGGACCCCGATTAACCGTGAGCCTGGCGAGGGCTGCCCCGAAAGGGACCCCGGGCGGGACTCTGAAAACCTTTTCCTTTCTGCTGAAAACCTAGGAGAGCCGGCACATCCTTAAAGAGCCAACTTCATCCTCAAGTTTCTAACCTGATGCTCCTTTGTCAGCAGACAGGTGCCAGGACCGTGTTTAAGTAACTCCCAACCTGGAGGCCAGTGACCTTTTATTATTACTACTCTGATCATTAATATTTATTAGCTGCCATTTATTGAGTATGACTTGGGCTCTGGGTTCTGCACTGTGTTAACTTTATGGCACTAAACCCCCCAACCACGCACATGCAGCTGGTGTTGTCATTAGCCCCATTTTACAGATGCAGAAACTGAGGTCCCATGCAGTTAAGGATACCTTGCCCAAATCACTTAGCTAATGAGCAAGATTTGGCACCAGGTCTAGAGGGCAGGAGAGCTGGGCTGCCACAGGGCTTTTCAAGCATGTAGTTTCTGCCACGTGCAGCCTATGTCATCTCCAGTCTTCCCAGCAATCCCTTCTCCAGGAGGTACCCCCAGCCCCACTTTACAGATGAGGGAACTGAGGCCCTAAGAGGGAATGTGACATGCCCAGCACGACAGACCTAGCGGTGGAAGGGCCGGATCTGCCTCTAAAGTCCCCTGACCTGACTGTCATTCTCTGGGACACCAGGACAGTCCTGGGCAAAACAGGACACGTTGGTTGCCCTGAGCAGCAGGGTGCTGTTTGGAGGAAGAGGGTGGCCTGCCCGCCTGGCCACGTGGAGAACGCCCAACAATTTCTGGCAGTCACTTCCATGCGAGACCATATAGGTCTGCGGGAAGAAGCACAGAGCTTTCTCTCTTCCCTCCTTCTCCCTCGATCCCAGACCCACACACTGTAGCCCACCACTCCAGCCGACAAACATTCCTTCAGCAGGGAGTCTTCTGCCTGATCCTAACTCTGGGCTTTGCTTCCACCGCTCCCTCTCTTCCACGGCCTGGCCGGCCTCCCTCTGTTCCAGCCCGGCCAACATCTCCTGGAGAATTCTTTCATGCCATCCCAGATCCTCCCTTCCAGCCCCTGCTGGGGAGGCCAAGTCCCTGTGCGCCTCTGGGTGCCACTGGCATGCCCACTGCAGACACTGGGCAAACACTGGCCAGTGAAGGAGAGGCCCTCGTGAGCAGAACGGATGCAAGGCACATCCATGGGACAAATGGGCAAAAGGCTGACACGCGCTCAGAAACAGCGTCTCCCGAAAGATGGCAGGAAAGGACACTCCTTCTGCAAACTGAACTTCGTGAGGGCAGGAGCCGCCCCTCTCTTGCTCACTGCTGACTTCCTAGCCCTTGGCACCATGCCCGGCACCTGCTGAGCTCCATGCACACCTAGGGAACAAAACGACCACAGAGGCTTCACAGCACCGAAGCCCTGTGCCTGCTGGGAGAGGCCGATTCCTTGGGGACTATAGAGCAGGCTGAAGTTGTGGGGTGGCTCTCTCTCTGTCCGACATTTATTGGGCACTACCTGTGTGCAGGGTCTAGGCTGAGCTCAACAAGGATGGAAAGAACATACAAAATATTTTCTCTGCCCTTAGTCTCATCTGCCTCACATGCCCCCAGGTAGGCCATGGCCCCAGGGGGCATCCTCTGTCCCATCCCTGCCCAGTGTCCACGTCCTCATCCTTAGGCTATCGCCCCTCTACCCCTCTACCTGGCTCTTCCCTTGGAAAGCCATCCCCTCCTTTAACCTCCAGCCCTGAGCGCCAATGCCAAGGGTGGTCACGTGGCCCAGGCCCGCTCAATCAGCTCATTCCATCCCATAAGACTGACCACCATTGACCCAAGGACAGACATGTGACCCAAGCTGGTCCACTGAAAGTCAGCCCCAGGACTTTAGTTGAAGGATTCAGGAAGAGAAGCTCCCTTTGTAGGAAGATTACTGACAGTAAGGTTGATGGAATCTGGGAGCCTGGAGTCCTCAGGGACTGGGCCAGCCTCAGAGAAGGGACAACCCAGGGGAAACCAGAAGACAGAAAGACAGAGACAGAAATCCAATACTATCATCATACAAGGTCTGCTGCTGGATATCCTGACACGTGAGCCAAGAAACTAACATCTCTCACCCTAGCTTTAGTATGGCTTCAGCTGCTTCAAGATGCGTCTCTGCTCTGTGTAACTGAAGGAGCCCCGCCACAGAACCAAGCGACATCTGCTCTCCTCAGCCCCAGAAGCCCTCGGGCCCCAAACCCAACATGAGGCCTCTGTCCCCCGACACAGGGCACTCCCTGCCTGCCTCCCCTTCTCTGCGGCTTCCAGCCGGGCTCCAGGCCCTCATGGGTGGTCTGGGGCTTGAAGTCTCTTACGAGTTCCCCACTAGACTCCAGTCTAGCAGCTCATCCCCAGGCCACCACATTGTCAGGAAAATGGATCTTTCTGAAGAGGACAATAGAGAATCATGCCAGTTCCCCAATTCACACCTTTGTGGGCTTGCTGCTCTCCACGGCAGATGCCTAAAGCATGGGGTGCGTGTCCCTGCAGGTAAGTGAGCTGCCTGCAGATGGCACGTGGACCCAGCACGCCAACACATGAAGATGGAACAAGAAACTTCGGCCCCCTCTGGTCCTCTTACAAGCCTTCTGATTTCTTTATAGAGAAAAATCTCTCCATGGTCCTACTAGGGCTCCGACATCTCTCTACCACTTGCTTCTCTCCCTTTTTAACAAAAAGAGGGAAAGCCTTGAGCTCGGCACCTTCCACAACAAGCTAGAACTTTGAACTATTGTTTTGTGCTTGTTGTATTTGTTTTTACGGTCACCTTCTGTGTATGCGAATGATAGTGGTTTTTCACTGACGGTAGTTACATAAAGTTTCCTTTGGAAATTAATTTATATAAACACAAAAGTGAGTCTATTTAAAGAAAAACTAAGGCAAATGACAGGACGTATACGGAGATGGTGAATCACGTTTGGCAAACAATGATTCACAAGATGCAATGTGATCTCCTCAGCCAGGCACACGACACCCTCACGGTGCGCCCCTTGACCACTCTTTCAAACCCACCAAAGGGCTTTTGGCTCCCATGACGAGGCTCACAAAGTCAGACCTCCAAGCCTCTGCCCATGCTGTTCCTTCTGCCCAATGTCCTTCCCTCAGACCCTCCTTCTCAACCTAGAACAATCTTATTTATTCCTGAAGGCCCAGGTGAATGTTGCTGTCTACTGCGGCCCAACTGCTCAAAGATCTCAAGGCCCCCCTGTGCTCTCTTGGGCCACTTTTTAGGGGTTGCTGACACTAAGGCCTTCCCTTTGAGGCTGAGAGACCCCAGAAGACCAGAACAGTCTTTCACCTCTGTGTCTGGCACCGAAGTTCGGTTAGCACGGGGGGGATGTGGACCCATCAGATGCAAGCATATCTGGGGACCACAAAGGCCCAGAGCCCAAACAGCGGGAAGGGAAGGGGGAGGGGAGTGATCTCCAGACGCAGGTGCCCGAGGCTGGGCCCCACAGCACAGCTCAGGGATCCCCTCAGGAGAGAGGAGGAGGTGAGCATCCGGGCTACCGGGTCCTGCAGAGGCCTGGAGCAGACAGCCTAGCAGGCCAAGCTTCTCGACTTCAACTTGCATTTGGATCATCTTTGGACTTGTAATGCTAATTCCTAAGCCTCACCCAAACACTGGCTCGGTGGGTTTGAAGTGGGTCCTAACCTACACTTTAAAAGGAATGCCTCGGGGCGTCTGGGTGGCTCAGTTGGTTGAGCAGACAGACTCTTGGTTTCGGCTCAGGTCATGATCTCAGGGTCCTGGGATCAGGCCCCGTGTTGGGCTCCGCACTCAGTGGGGAGTCTGCTTGAGGATTCTCTCTCTCCCTCTGCCCCTCCCTCCACACTCTCTCATGTGTGCGTGCGCTCTCTCTCGCTCAAATAAATTAAAAAGAAACGCCTCAAGTGATGGCAAGGGCCACACTTGGAGAAACACTGGGCCACAGGTGTTGGCACGAATGGAAACAGGTAAGGGCCTAGCAGACAAAATGCAGAAATGCATCTGAACTGCAAAGATCCTCCAGAACATTGCATCACTGCCTGGCCACCGAGAGCCTGAAGACACAGTCTACCGGCGAATGAGCGTTGTCAAGGTTATTTACAATACGCCCCCAAATAATTCAACGGAGATGTGTTTAATGAGGTAGATCCCCGCACGATCACAGGCAGTGTTATAGGCCGACCCTGGAGTGATCCATCCAAAATACAGAATCCCTTGTTAGACACCTTCTCGACTATCGATTGTGAGCAGGAAACTTAACCCCTCTGAGTCAGGATGAGGCCATTCCTGGCTAAAGAAACCCTCCTTTGTTCGAATGACCAGGCAATCAAATTGTTCGTAGATGAAATCCAGGCAAACCAGAGAAAGGGAGGTTTCTAGCAGAACTCGCCGCAAATGGCAGTAAGAGCCTCCACTTTGGTTCGTTACCAATTGCCTCCTCACACGCGAATTAAAATAGAGAAGTGAAAGCAGGTGGACCCGTGGGGTCTTTGAGGCCAGCCCGGTGGCTGCCCCCCTTCCAAGCTCTGGCCTTCAGAACAATCCAGGCCGAGTCACTCATCAAATGGAGATTGACTTTTATCTGATTAACCGGGGGAGAAACATCCTCCTCCATCTCGCAGGAACATTCTGTGGGAAAGGCGTTTTGCAGACTGCAGGGAAAAGTTGGGCCTTGGCTTCCCTCCTGCTTGGGCAGTGGAAAATTACAAAGGAAGCAAGGCTGTCCTCTGCTCTGCTCACGGGTTCTTCCTGGGCCCGGAAAACACAAAGAGAACCCCGGAAACGGAGTGAGCCTTTACTTACCTGGGGCGGAGAGGAGTCGGGGAGGTGGTGGGGGCGGGGGTGGTGGGGGCAGCAAGGGAGGGGGTCGGCACTGGCAGATGTGTTGACAGCTGTCGGTCACCTTGGAGCAGGACTTCTGGGGCTCACCATGCGTCACCTGCAGAAACGGGCAGGTGCCCAAGAGAAGAGCATGAGGCCGCAGGGAGCAGAAACGGGCCCGCCCCACCCACTCCCAGCCAGGCTGGAACTCGGGATCCTCCCCCCAGGCCACCGAGGGAGGAAGGCAGGAGTCGGGGTGGCTCGAAGGGAACAGTGTTGTGGGAGGCCGGCCTGGTGGGTTTAGAGACCAAGGTTTTATTCCCAGCTCTGCCAGGACCAGGCTGTGAGACCGTGGCCCACGACCTGGCTACTGAGAGGGAGACAAAAATTTTACGGTTAACTCTCAGAATTTCCCTAGCGCACAAATGAGGGAAACTGAGGCCCAGGCTGCCCGACGTTCCCACACCCGGGCAGTGACTGGATACCGATTTTACCTCCTCAGTAACCTGAGCCAACCATTCCTGCAGTCTTCCTTGTTACAGCACAAGGCCAAGCCCGCCCCTTCTCTCTGCCCACAGGTCCTGACAGCCTTCCTATGTCCACGCAGGGCCAAGGTGCCCCCATCTGGAGGGAGGAACCTTACCCAGTCCAGCCATGTGAGCAAAGGCAGCCCGAGTGGTCCTGTGGGAAACACACCGGACCAAACCCTCTGCATCCTCCTAACAATCCCTGGGTCCCTGCCCACAGCTCAGGAGCTCACGTGGCCACATGGCCCTGCTCCAGAGGCCCCTGATGCTGTTTCCAGCCCCACCTCACTCCACGCTCTCAGCTTCTGCTCTGCTCTCAACACCCTTCTTCTAGTCCCTGGACCCTGGCCACCCCCCATCCCCCTTTACGTATGCTGCTCCACTGTCCCAGAATGTTCTCCCACACCTTTCTCTGACTTGATCCATTACTCAGCTTGGCTATCAGCTCCTCAGGGAAGCACCTCTGACCAGGTCAGGTCTCCTTTTATAGGCTCTCCTGGTACCAGGCTACGCTCTGTGGGTCAAAAATCTACATTTGGGTGATTATCTGATTCCTACCTGTCTGCACCATTGGACTAGATGCTCTGTAGGGGTAGGGGCCCAGCTTTTTATTTTCACCCACTAAGGGAATCCCTGGCATCCAATAAATATTTGGTGAGTGAATGAATGAGTATTAAAAACTGGACCAGAGGGGCGCCTGGGTGGCTCAGTCGTTAAGCGTCTGCCTTCGGCTCAGGTCATGATCCCGGGGTCCTGGGATCGAGCCCCGCATCGGGCTCCCTGCTCCACGGGAAGCCTGCTTCTCCCTCTCCCACTCCCCCTGCTTGTGTTCCCTCTCTCGCTGTGTCTCTCTCTGTCAAAATAAATAAATAAAATCTTTAAAAAAAAAAAAAAAAAACTGGATCCGAATCCATGCCTCTTGATTCCTGACCTGGTGTTTTTTCGACACCAGTGTTTAGTTTTTCACCTGTCAACCAGGATGGGGCTGGGCTCAACCAGCAGTTCCCAATCCTGACTGCAAATGAGAATCTCCCAGGCAGCTTTAAAAAAATACTCATGCCTGATCCTTTCCTAAGACCGATTAAATCAAAATTTTGTGTAATTTTCCCAGGCTAGACTTCTACTGTACAGCCCACGTGTGCGCTGCTGGTTTAGATACATCGTCAGCCTCCCTCCCCATGGCAGAGTGCCCTAACCCGCGAGCCTAGGGTTCTGTGCCTGTCTCAGGGAACAAGGGGATATAAAGGCATGAAGGAAAGAGTTGGTGGGCATCCCCACCTCAGTGAAGCCCCCAGTAACGTCTCTGGCTGTCCTTTTGGGGGAGTAGAAACCCAGAACCCCAGTTTCTCTGCAGCTAGCCACCTGCGGCCTGCTGTTGGGAAGGGCATGCTATAGACCACCTTTGGAGGCCAATGCTGCCCCTCCAACACGCGTATTGTCCTGGGCCGGCAGGGAGAGCCCCTGGGGCTCCAATGCTCCCTTCACACTTGGCAGCTGTGAACAGGCTGGGTGATGACCACTGGGTGATGGCAGTAAGAGGTGGGTTGATTTACAGCCCCTAACTTACTATCTACGAGGCCGAGAAGTCGAAGCCGCTGCTCACCACCTTTTAGGGTTCTTAAAGGGCCACTGACTGCGTTTCAAACTCCGAAGGCAAGCTCATCTCCCACCTGGAAGAGCAGATCCTCGGATGGGGAGCCTCTCCTAGTTAGTTGATGGGGATGCGTAACTCCCTGCGCAGACGTGGTACCCCCACCAGCTTCTCCAACAGTGCACCTGTCAGCTCGCCTGTGGTCATCGAGCTGCCCTCCTCCCGTTCCACCCTCCACCAGGGGCCGACCTTCTAAGACCATGGGGGGTTGCTCGAAGACTCCATTCTGCCAATGCTGGCCTCCGAGGTCGCTTCTCTGCTGGACTCTACCAGTGTGCACACGTCAAGCAATGCTACGGCCAAACCAAGGACCCTCTCCGAGGGGCAATTTATGCGAGAGTTCCAGAGGAGCACGTCTGCTTAACCTGGCCCAACATGATGACCCATTTTTGTGAGAGGATATAAGGGCACCGATGGATACGAGAGTTTAAAGCGATAAAATTATCGGCAGGGAAGCCGGGGTCAAGTTTCAAGGCTGAAGGGGGAGGGAACAATGGAGTGTATGGCATTTAAAAAAAATCCATGGTTCCTTCGTCTCTCGGATAATGGCCCCACTGGAATGGGATTGTGCACATCTGTGTAACCAGTTACCCTCACAGAAGTATCCCATTTGGGGTGTCTATCCTTCTCCCTGATTGGGGGGGCCCACTTGGGGTCCTTCACTGGCGTTTGGTCCAGCACAAGCCTGTGGCCACTGAGCCGCTCTTAACTGACACTTGGTTACTCAGACCTTGATCCACTTGCCAACCTCCGGAACCCCACATTCCCCACCCCCCACCCATCACATTGGATCCACCTGCCCAGGGCTGCTGCCTCACCCTGTAATCTCTGGGGCACTCTGCCCCTGTTTTGTAATGTCTGCTCCCTGCACTGAGCCTCGAGCGTCTCGGGGCAGGCAGGCGGGTGGGTCTGTGCTTCCTGAGTCCTGACCCAGTGCGCCTTCCTGAGCCCTACTGTGTGTGAGCCATGGCTGGATAAGTGAGAGAGGCAAGTTTATCATTGCCGCTTATGGGGGGTGGGGGGAGGACAGGCCCAGCGAAGCTAAGTAACCTACTAAGATTTCACAGGGCCCTGCATTCAGTTGGCACACAATGAAAAGATGTGTTGGGGGATGGTCTGCCCACCAGTGGAGAAACACAGGATCTATTCTGCTCCCCAACTCTGGGTCCACTTGGGGGTTCTGTGGATTGGCGGTGTTGTATTTAGACCAGTCGAGAGGAGACCTCAGCATTGAGAGCTCGTCTCAACGCCTGGCTTGCTTGGTTTGTATCTTGGGGAGTCCCACAGGGAGAAGGAACTTTCCCTGAAGCAACCTGCTCTTGGCTGGACCTGACTAAGCAGGGGCAGAGGCTCAGAGAGGTCAACGACTTGCCTAAGGCCCGCAGAACAGAAGCTGACATCATGACTTCCCGCGGCCACTTTTCGTCCAGTTTTGCTGTCCCCTGCCTTCCCGCCCCTGCTCTGCAGCATCCCTGGGGCCAGAATCTTGTCGATGCTACTGTCGTGGAGAGTGGGCTAAGGCACAGGTGAGTCCCGCAGTCACCTGGATTTGGTACCTGCCACTGTGGTCCGGCGGCCATGGTGCTCCATGTTCCCACTCACTCCTGACCAGTCAGTGCAGCTTTCTGGTTCAGTGGGTGTTACCTTCCTGAATAGTCCCTGTGCCCATCAGTTTCTCCCCATTCTCACTGCTACCACCCTAAACCAGGACACCGTCATATCTCCACTGGGCAGCACCTGCCTCTCACCTAGGATTATGAGATAAAATAGAGGGCATCTTGTTAAATTTTAGAGAAACAACCATTTTTAGTATAAGTATATCCCAAATATTGGGTGGGATATACTTACACTAAAGCCTGAGGCATTGTTTATTTGAAATTCAAATTTAACTAGATGTCCTATATCTCTACCTGCCTAAATCTGGCAACCCTCCCCTCCCCAGCGTCTTTGCCCCCTTGCCTCACCCCTGCTGCCCCAAATCCATCTTTCTGCTGGGCCTGGACCGAGATTTCTAAAATGCCAGCCGGAAACTATGTCATTTCTTGCTTAAAACCTTCAACGGCTCCCATAGCCCTCGGGATCGTGTCCAAACTGTAAGGCATTATGTTAGGGGCTTACAACAGTGGCCTCACCTGGGGCTTCCCTCCCCGGGGTTCTTCCCACGCCCCGTTCTCTCCTCTGGCCTCGGGGCTACTCCCCCTGCCTGGACACTTCATTCATGCCTGCAGCCTGCTCCTCTCTTGTCCTTGTTCATGCTCCAGCCGCAGCACTACCTCTGCGAGCCTTCTCTGACTCTCCCACCAGGTCTCATCCCCAAGCCGACTGCTCCTGCTGAGTTCTCTTGCCTATAATTGCTTCATTTTCTCTCCAGCGCCAGGCTGTCAGTGCCGCGAGGCCAGGGACCGCTCCCCCCTTGCACCTAACAAAGGGCCTGGCAAACAGTAGGTGCCCAATAGATGCTACTGACGAGATAAGCCAAGCTGTAGTGACTGATCACAGGAGGAGCTCAGCATTGCTGGTGCCCCGCCTTCAGCACACAGAGACCCATTGGCCCGGGTCACAGCCCGTCTCTCTGGAGGACACCCACAAAGATGATGGCTTCTGGCATCTTGTATGGAGACAGGCCAGCACCACAGTAACTTGATGAGACACACTCCTGTCACACCTAATAAATTTGCCAGCCTGTCATCCTCTTTGCTTGCAAAAAAAGGAATCATCTGGAAGTGAACTTAGAAGAACCCTAAATCACAAAAGCTCAGAATCTCAATTCTAGACATATTAAAGAAGAAAGGGGGGAGCCTAGGGAATGCCCCCACCAACCTTGTGGCAATTTAAATGTCATCCAACTTTAAGGATTATGTTTCTTATCCTCTGGGCGACAGCCAGAGGCTTCAGGCTGATTTCAAGGTGGGAACCTGGTGCTTCGTGGGGGACCACAGGTCTCTTGCTCCACCAATTATCCTATTAATTACAGCTCTTTGATATGTTGGTCTCACTCTTGCAGATGTTTACAACTTTGGGGGATTCTTCCGGCAAAATGCTTACGAAAGCACAGATAGCTCTGAGTTCTTTCTCTATATTCAAGAAACTCCTATGATGGGGCAGATTTCAATCTCTCCGCTTAGAGGGAAATACATGGCCCTCATGCACTTGTATCTTTCTCTTCTTCCCTCTGTTCTCCTGGAGTCAGCTCTTTTCCTTAAAAACCAGATCCATCCATTCCAAAGCCCCTCTTCCCTTGGCTTCTCAGTCCCTTATCATTTGTAGATTAATTTTTCCAGAGCCTCCTGCCAACATTTTGCCCACTTTACTTGTCTGGAGGACTCCTTTTCTAATTGATTTTCACGAAAATTGACTTGTATTGAGTAACAGCATCTGAAACACACACACACACACACACGCACGCATGCATGCACGCAAGCATGAGCACTGCCTGGCTGAAGGACATTGCTAAAAAACTGAGCTGCGTTCACAAATTATTTCTTTTGGTGGTGACAGTGGGGAGGCAGTGGGTCTGCTGTGTGAATCCTGCTGGTTCACGCCACAGAATGCCAGCCTCGGAGGCTGACAACAGCACGTTGCTCTCTAGGAGTGTTAGGGAAAACTGTAAACAGATGAATAGAAAAATGAAGTGAACTTCACATCTGAGGTTCAACTAAAAGTTGCACGAGGGAAGCTGGTCCCAAGCTGCCCAAGGGTTTAGAAGTGACACAATCCTGAATCCTGAGGAGGCACAGCGGAGTTTAATAGCTGCCGTTTCACACATTAAACGAAGCTGTCAATTCCGGAAGGAAAACAGTTGTGAGGGAGACAGAGGGACGCCAAAGAAGCCAGAGCAGAAGAGGAGCCTGGGGCTGGGGCTGCGGTTGGGTGGGGGGGTGGGGGGGTGGCTGGCCGACCCACCTGCTCAACTAGCATGCTCCTTCCAGCCTGAGAGCCCCTGGTGTTCCCCGGTGGTCACCCAGGCCACCATCCAGGCAGGACGGACAGCTGGTTTCCAGCGGGGCCCCATCGCGCAGGGCAGCTCAAGGACCGCAGCAGACTGGCAAGGGGTCTCACCCTATCCCCTGTCCTTTGGTTGACCGCCCCCTACTCAGGGCAACCATCTGAAAGATCCCCAACCCCCAAAATGCCACCAGAAGAACATGAAACCGCGAAACCTCCAGAGTTGGGGATGTCGATGCTCAAAACAGTAAAAATGTCCTCCAGTGCCTGTGGAACCGCTGAAAATTCAAAAACGTCCCACAGGTTCTGTCGTGATCAAGAGAGTGGCTGGCCATCCAGATAGAGGAGCAGCGTGACTGTTACTAGTATCGACAATGACAGCCGCCGCCACCACTGAGGGTTTATTATGGTCCAGGCGCTGTGCGAAGCCATCTTTACTTGCTTGATCTCATCAAGTACTTACAAGGGCACAGTGAGGAACAAGAAACCAAGGCCCCGAGAGGCATGGCCTGAAGTCCTGAGCAGGTGAGGGGCAGAACTGGGGCTCAAAACGCAGAACTGACACCAGAGTCCACATCACCACTCCGCTGTACCACTGACCGTGGACATTCTGGAAGGTACCAGGGGCCATGCCATCTGACCCTCTCCCTGAGCCTAACAGAAGTCACTCGAGCTGGTGGCCCCCTGGCCTGTGCCCTGGGGTCTCGGGGGGCCCAGGGTGAAGGCTCCAGCCCCAGGCAATCCTTACAGATGGACAGTTTCTTCCTACATCTCCACTAGGGGCCCCCAGGCACAACCTGTCCACATCCCCAACTCCGCTGCCTCCAGGAAACACAGCCCCAGCCGTGGTTAAGTCCAGTTTAAGAAGGCTAAGTACAAGTTTACTAGTGACTCTGGTGGGAAATAAAGAAGGTATAATTCTTGGGATCATTTTCTTCTTAAGTTTGTAGAAGCTCTAAGGTTTCTTTCCCTGCATTTCTGCAACAGAATGTTATCATGGAGAGGGCACTCCCAAGCCCTTTCTGTTCCAAGGCCCTGTCCTGCAAGCCTTGCCAGGCCAGGACTGAGGCCTGCCCCAGAGTTTTTCCAGATCTTTTCAGGGCCGGAGTATGGAGGGGTAGGGAGAGTGGGAGGGCATGCACCTTTTCTTGTCCTGAGCTCTCCCCAGGAGCAATCGAGGGGCGGCTGCAGGAAGCCAGGGTCGTGGGAGTGAAGTGCCACCGCC